AACGTTGTCCTCCGAGTGAAGAACCTTGTCCTCAGAGTTTAAATAAGCTTGTCCTCAAAGTGAGGAACCTTGTCCTCAAAATGAAGAACCTTGTCCTCAGAGTAAAGAATCTTGTCTTCAGATTGAGGAACCTTGTCTTCAGAGTGAGTAACCTTTGTCCTCAGAGTAAAGAAGCTTGTCCTCAGAGTGAAGAACCTTGTCCTCAAAGTGAGGAACTTTGTCCACAGTTTGAAGAACCTTGTCCTCAGATTGAAGAACCTTGTCTTCAGAGTGAGGAACATTGTCCTCAGATTGAAGAACCTTGTCCTCAGAGTGAGGAACCTTGTCCTCGGAGTGAAGAACATTGTCCTCAGAATGAAGAACCTTGTCATCAAAGTGAGGAACCTTGTCCACAGTGTGAGGAACCTTGTCCTCAGCGTGAAAAACGTTGTCCTCAGAGTGAAGAACCTTGTCCTCAGAGTTTAAATAACCTTGTCCTCATTGTGAGGAACCTTGTCCTCAGATTGAAAATCTTGTCGTCAGAGTGAGGAACCTAGTCCTCAGAGTGAGGAACCTTGTCCTTAGAGTCAGGAACCTTGTCCTCGGAATGAAGAACCTTGTCCTCAAAGTGAAGAATCTTGTCCTCAGAGTGAAGAAATTTGTCCTGAGAGTGTGAAACCTTGTCCTCAGAGTGAAGAACCTTGTCCTCAGAGTGAAGGACCTTGTCCTGAGAGTTTAAATAACCTTGTCCTCAAAGTGAGGAACCTTGTCCACAGTGTGAGGAACCTTGCCCTCAGATTGAAGAACCTTGTCCTCAGTGTGAGGAACCTTGTCCTCAAAATGAAGAACCTTGTCCTCCGAGTAAAGAATCTTGTCCTCAGAGTGAGGAACCTTGTCCTCAGAGTGAGTAACCTTTGTCTTCGGAGTAAAGAACCTTGTCCTCAGAGTGAAGAACCTTGTTCTCAAAGTGAGGAACTTTGTCCACAGTGTGAAGAACCTTGTCCTCAGATTGAAGGACCTTGTCTTCAGAGTGAGGAACATTTTCCTCTGATTGAAGAACCTTGTCCTCAGAGTGAGGAACCTTGTCCTCGGAGTGAAGAACATTGTCCTCAGAGTGAACAACCTTGTCCTCGGAGTGAAGGACCTTGTCCTCAGACTGAAGAACCCTGTCCTCAGAGTGAAGAACCTTGTCCTCAGAGTGAAGAACCTTGTCCTCAGAGTTCAAATAACCTTGTCCTCAGAGTGAGCAACCTTGTCCTTAGAGTCAGGAACCTTGTCCTCGGAATGAAGAACCTTGTCCTCAAAGTGAAGAATCTTGTCCTCAGAGTGAAGAAATTTGTCCTCAGAGTGAATAACCTTGTCCTCATAGTGAAGAACCTTGTCCTCAGAATGAAGAACCTTGTCATCAAAGTGAGGAACCTTGTACACAATGTGAGGAACCTTGTCCTCAGCGTGAAGAACGTTGTCCTCCGAGTGAAGAACCTTGTCCTCAGAGTTTAAATAAGCTTGTCCTCAAAGTGAGGAACCTTGTCCTCAAAATGAAGAACCTTGTCCTCAGAGTAAAGAATCTTGTCTTCAGATTGAGGAACCTTGTCTTCAGAGTGAGTAACCTTTGTCCTCAGAGTAAAGAAGCTTGTCCTCAGAGTGAAGAACCTTGTCCTCAAAGTGAGGAACTTTGTCCACAGTTTGAAGAACCTTGTCCTCAGATTGAAGAACCTTGTCTTCAGAGTGAGGAACATTGTCCTCAGATTGAAGAACCTTGTCCTCAGAGTGAGGAACCTTGTCCTCGGAGTGAAGAACATTGTCCTCAGAATGAAGAACCTTGTCATCAAAGTGAGGAACCTTGTCCACAGTGTGAGGAACCTTGTCCTCAGCGTGAAAAACGTTGTCCTCAGAGTGAAGAACCTTGTCCTCAGAGTTTAAATAACCTTGTCCTCATTGTGAGGAACCTTGTCCTCAGATTGAGAATCTTGTCGTCAGAGTGAGGAACCTAGTCCTCAGAGTGAGGAACCTTGTCCGCAGAGTGAAGAACCTTGTCCTCAGGGTGAGAACTAGCATCTCATTCAGCTACCCTTATAGATAGTATATTCACAAATTGTTTTCAACAAAATACATTGAATGGATTAATCCTTAATGACATTTCAGATCATTTCCCTGTGTTTGCATATTTTAAAAAGGACTCGCCCACACGTCGAGGAAATGAAGTAATTTATAAAAGAGATTATGCGGAACGGAATTTGTTAAAATTCCGAACAGCTCTTTCACAAATAAATTGGTCAACCGTCTTAATTGGTGATGATCCAAATGACCTATATAACGATTTTGTAAGCGAATACAATAGGCATCTCGAAGAATTTTTTCCTCTAAAAATGTATAAGCCAAATTCTTACAATAAACCCAAAACTACATGGATTTTTAAAGGATTGTTAGTTTCTGTAAGAAAGAGAAATAGGCTTTACAAAAAATATATGACTAATTCTACAACTTACCGAGAGAGGAAATACAAAGATAACAAAAATAAATTGAATCATTTAATTAGAATAGAGAACTAAGAGAACTTATTATGATATTAAATTCGAGCAAGCTAAATCTGACTTGAAAACTACATGGATCCGACTTCATTCAACATAAATAATAACAAGATATCGTATCCTAGAAAAATTGCGGATGAATTCTGTCAATACTTTATTAATTTGGGTACATCCGTAGCCAATAAGATACTCCCATCAAATCATTCTTTTGAGAGTTTCCTAACCAGAAGTACTGGAAACTATATTCCTAAGACCAACGCACGAAAGTCAGCTTCGTGAAATATGCATGTCATTTAAAAATGGAAGAGTGTCTGGTTATGATAACATACCAATGCATACAATTAACAATTCCTTTGAATTTATTTCAAAACCACTGACGCACATAATTAATAAATCTCTGGAAAATGGAGTATTTCCTGATAGTTTGAAAATTGCTAAGATAATTCCAATTTTTAAATCTGGCGATATGGACAAATGTTCAAATTATAGACCTATATCAAGCTTAGCAAACTTTTCCAAATTTTTTGAAAAGGTTGTGCATAAACGGCTTTTGCATTTTATTGAAAAATTAGATCTTCTGTACTGTTATCAATTTGTTTTTCGTAAGAAACACTCAACTGAACTTGCACTGATCCATTTGATTAACAAAGTTGCGACCTCTACTGACGAGAACAAATTGACAGCTGCTGTATTCCTTGACTTATCCAAAGCTTTTGATACAATTAGTCATGAAATATTATTTTATAAACTTGAACATTATGGCTTCCGTGGTATCGCTTTAACTTGGATTAAAAGCTATTTCAAAAATAGTAAACACTTTGTCCAATTTGGAAAAATTAAATCCTACGAAGCCATTACCCGATGTGGTGTACCCCAGGGTTCTATTTTGGGACAACTCTTTTTTATACTCTATATCAATGATATTCCCAACTCGGTACGCTCAGTTGAACTTTTATTATTTGCCGACGACACCAGTATTTATTATTCCCATAATGATCCTAACGTACTTGCAAGGGTAATGAATGATGCATTGCAAAATGTTGAGCAATGGATGACGGCGAACAAATTGAGTATTAACACAGATAAAACTAATTACGTTTTTTTTAAATATCGACAAAAGAAGATCACTAGTGACATATCTCTCGCTTTCGAGGGAATTTCGCTGCCTCGAAAACAGCAAGTTAAATTTTTGGGAATTTACTTGGACGAAAATTTGTCTTGGAAATCCCATATTAATCATGTTTGCAAAAAGATCTCAAAATCTATTGGCATAATTTTCCGTGCTCGCTTACACCTATCCCCTGAAACAAAATTTTTATTATATTATACCTTAAGTTATCCCTACTTGAATTATTGCAATATTATTTGGTCATCAACTTACATTTCACATCTAAGTCGTATATTTTTATTGCGAAACCGAGCTGTTAGAATATTAACGAATTCCGATTTTCTAGCACATACCGCTCCCCTATTTCAAAGGTTAAAATTACTTGATATTTACAAGATCAACTCATTTTTTACCGGTAAATTTATGTATTTCTATTATAAACAGTTACTACCTCCTACCTTCCTTCATTTGTTCATTAAGAGCAATGAAGTTCATATTTATAACACAAGAAATGCGAAGATGTACCGAACACATTCCTGTAAAACCACAACAAAACAACACACAATTCTTTTCAATTGCCCTAAACTGTGGAATTCGCTTGCAGAAAATATAAAACAGGCAGAAACTTTTGGTTGATTCACGAATGGAAAGAAAAAAAAAATTACTCCATGAATAGCAATGATATTGAAATTGTCTTTATATACTGTCATTATTGCGTTTTAATATTTGATAATGCATGGGTGAACGCCAAACCTAGTGGCTGGACGAATAGTAATGATATCGAAATTGTCGTTGTCGTTTTTATACGTTATTATTTTTTAATATCAATATTTGATACTGCAGTGTGAATACTCACCAGAGCAGGCATCCACTTTACAAGCCTAGTGGTTTCTGGATGTCTTCTTGCCATTAATATTTTCTAAAATTGCATTAGATCTAAATATCATATATGTATTTTCTTTTCCTTTTTCTTTGTAATTATCATATTTGTGGCATTAAATAATTATAATTATTATTAAGAACCTTGTCCTCAAAGTGAGGAACCTTGTCCAAAGTGTGAGAAACCTTCTCCTCAGGTTGAAGTACCTTGTCTTCAGAGTGAAGAACCTTGTCCTCAGAGTGAAAAACCTTGTTCTCAAAGTGAGGAATCTTGTCCACAGTGTGAGGAACCTTGTCCTCAGATTGAACAACCTTGTCTTTAGAGTGAGGAACCTGGTCCTCAGAGTGAAGAACCTTGTCCTCGGAGTGAAGAACCTTGTCCTCAGAGTGAGGAACCTTGTTCGCAGAGTGAAGAACCTTGTCCTCAGAGTGAAGAACCTTCTCCTCAGAGTGAAGAACCTTGTTCTCAGAGTTTAAATAACCTTGTCCTCAAAGTGAGGAACCTTGTCCTCAGATTGAAGAACCTTGCCCTCAGAGTGAGGAACCTTATCCTCAGAGTGAAGAATCTTGCCCTCAGAGTGAAGAACTTTGTCCTCAGACTGAAGAACCTTGTCATCAAAGAGACGAACCTTCTCCACAGCGTGAGAAACCTTGTCCTCAGATTGAAGAATCTTGTCCTCAGAGTGAGGAACCTTGTTTTCAGAGTGACGAACCTTTTTCTCAGAGTCAAGACCCTTGTCCTCAGAGTCAGGACTCTTGTCCTCGGAATAAAGAGCCTTGTCCTCAGAGTGAAGAATCTTGTCCTGAGAGTGAAGAACCTTGCCCGCAAAGTGAGGAACCTTGTCTACAGTGTGAGGAACCTTGTCCTGAGATTGATGAACCTTGCCCTCAGGGTAAAGAACCTTGTCCTCAGAGTAAAGAACATTGTCTTCAAAGTGAGGAACCTTGCCCTCAGAGTGAGAATCCTTGTCCTGAGACTGTGAAACCTTGTCCTCAGACTGAGGAACCTTGTCCTCACAATGAGGAACCTTCTCCTTAGAATGAAGAACCTTGTCCAGAGTGTGAGGAACCTTATCCTCAGAGTGAAGAACCTTGTCCTCAGTGGGAGGAAACTTGTCCTCAGAGTGGGGAACCTAGTACTCAGGTTCAGGAACCTTGTCCTCCGAA